AATAGGCAAATCTATAGAAACAGAAAGTAAAGTAGTGGCTGCCAGGCCTAGATAGAGGGGATAATGAGGAATGACTGCTTAATGGTACAGTTTCTTTTGGGTGTGATGAAAATGTTCTAAACTTAGCAGTAATAGTAGCACAACTCTGTGAATATACTAAAAAACCCACTGAACTATACACTTTTAAAGGGTGAATTTCATACTATGTGAATTATAACTCAATAAAGCTGTTATTAATAAAAAACAACCTTATCTGATTTCAGGAAACTCTGGCTCCAGCTACATGGCTCATGATTCTGAGTAACACACTAAAAAGTCAAGTCTCTGAGATATTTATTCAGCCTAGAATGCCCTCCCCCACCTCCCACTCTTTCCCTGGCCCAATTCAACTTTTATTTTTAAAGATAGCCTGCTTAACCTTTAAAATTAACTGGGATGGATATCAAACTACACTTGTTGTGGTGATCATTTTGCAATATGTACAAAGAGCAAAATCATTAATTATACTGAACACCCGAAACTAATATAATGTTATATGTGAATTATAGCTCAATTAAAATAATTATTAGTTTTAGAAAACCTAATATTTGTTCCCTTTTGTGTGAAGCTTTCCTTGACATCCTTACTCCTTCAGGCAGGAGTAACTGCTCTCTCAGCACTTAATATATAAATTACTAAAACATTTTTAAAGGTATCAGAGCGCCCTATTTATGTCTCTGTTTCTCCCACTAGACCATGAGCCCATCTCATTAACTTCCGTATTCAGCCACTAGCATAGCGCCTTTGCTATTCAATTTTCAAAAGATGTTCAGTACTTCTCTTTTTAAAAAACAGTATTTGTACAAATATACATTTTATAAGTAATGTATAAAATGATACTGTCATATATATTTATCTGGTTGAATCTTTTGCAATTCCAATGTTGATGCATGTAAACAGTTACCCTAGATAAGAATTAATTGGGCATTCTTCACTGCATTGCTAAAATAAATAAGTTGGAATCTTTCTATATGGAATGCAGAATTTTATACTGTGATTACTGAACATTTACATATGTACTGGGAATCAGATATGCAAGTCAAAACACAACCTTTAACACATATATGTGTATTTTTTTTAATATACTTATTTACACACATTTTTCACAGTAATGTAATTAATGCAGGCAGGAAAATGTCTTTTGTTTTTATAAGGTCATCTAATGAGCATTATCTTAAAACAGTCCTAGTTAGCCCTAGCTGGTTTGGCTCAGGGGATAGAGCATTGGCCTATGGACTGAAGGGTCCCAGGTTCAATTCCAGTCAAGTGCACATGCCCTGGTTGTGGGCTCGATACCTGGTGGGGGTGTGCAATGATTTCTCTCATCATTGATGTTTATATTTCTCTATCCCTCTCCCTTCCTCTCTAAAATCAATAAAAAATATTTTTTAAAAGCAGTCCTATTTAGAGCTTTTTAAGAAAAGTAATGATCTTTTTCTAAGATAGGAGCTGCAAATTCCAAAACTTATAAGGATCAGCAACTAAAAAGCATCATCTAAATAGAGAGCATCACCTAAAAAACTTTGAGAACAAAATAGAGAGCCCAGAAATAAAACTATACCTGTGTGGTCAATTAATCTATGACAAAGAAGACAAATCACACAACAGGGTGTAGACAGTCTATTCAATAAATGGTGCTGTGAAAATTGGACAGATATATGTAAATAACTAAAACTAAACTAGACCACTTTCTTATACCATAAACTCAAAGTAGATTAAATATTTAATTATAAGACCAGAAAGCATAAAACTCCTAGAAGAAAAACACAGGCAGTAAAATTGCTAACATTTTTTCTTAGGAATATTTCTTCTGATATATCTTAAGTATGGGAAATAAAATTTAAAATAGGACTACATCAAACTAGAAAAGACAAGCTACTGAATGGGAGAAGACAGGTGATAATAGGTTAATATCCAAAATTTGTAAAGAACTCATATAAGTCAATACACGCACACAAAACCACCAAATAATCCAATTAAAAAATGAGCAGAGGACCTGACTTCTACACAGCGGACACATAGATGGCCAACAGACATATGAAAAGATGTTCAACATCAATAATCATCAGAAAAATGCACATTAAAACCAGAATGAGATATCACCTCACATTTTACAGAATGGCTACCATCAATAAATCAATAAACAAGCATTGGTGAGGATGTGAAGAAAAGAAAACCCTCAACCAATGTTGGTAGGACTGAACATTGGTGTCAGCTGCTGTGTAAAACAGTATGGAATTACCTCAAAAAATAAAAGAGAATTACATTATGATCCAGCAATTTCACTTCTGAGTATATATCCAAATAAATTAAAAACACTAATTTGAAAGAATGTATACACACTATGTTCATTGCAGTATTATTTACAATAGCCCAGATGTGGAAGCAACCCATAGATGAGTGGATAAAGAAGATGTGGTACATACATATTATTACATATGTACATATTATTACATCTTCTTTACATAATATTATATAAAATATTACACAGTCAATGAAAAGAATGAAATCTTATTATTTGTGATGACATGGATGAACCTAGAGGATATTATGCTAAGTGAAACAAGTCAGACAAATACAAATACGATATGATTTCACTTATATGTGGAATCTACAGAACAAAATAAACAAAACCTCAAGACTTATAGATTTATAAATAAAACACAGAGAACAAATTGAGGGTTGCCAGATGGGAGGGGAGTTGAGGGGCTGGGTAAAAAAAAAAAAAAGGTGGAAAAATTAAGAAGTACAATTTGTAATATTATAATAACTATAAATGGTACCAATTAGATAAATTGGCTCATAAACTATATAGTTATCTAACCACTATGCTATACACCTAAAATTATTATAAAATATACTGAATGATAACTGAAATTTAAAAAAATATATAAATAATATTTTAATACCTTTGGGCAGGGACTAACAACATTGTGTCTCCACTAAGAAAACTGAGTGGTCAGGGAAAAGCGTAGATTTCCTTTCCACATAGAGTATTTTCTATATCTTTAAATTTCATATCAAGTACATTATTTATCTATACAATTTGCTTCTTGACTCCAGATAACCATCACTAGTTAGGAATGCAGGCCTGGTGTTGCCAGATCTGATTTTTTAAAGAAGTCATAAATAGGAAAATTCTGATTTTTATGTAAAACCTATAATTTTAAAATGTTGGCTTTATTCAGAATTTAGCACATAGAACAGGCCAAACAAAACACACCTGCAAGCCATATCTGGCTCATAGGCCAACCAGTTTACCATCTTTAATAAAAAATTTGATGTGTGGCTTATGGTTCCAAAACTATAAATATATTTAATGGAGGAAAAGTTCAAAAAGAAAAATCAGACTTGTAGATGAATCCATGCCTTATTCTGCCCACCATCTCTTTAGTCCCTATTGTCTTAACATTCTGGGGTCTTTTAAAAGGTTGTTAATATTTGACCAACTAAAATGCAAGTCAGTCAGGGTTAATCAAGAAATGCGCCCATTATTTTAACATCTGCTCTGTTTTAAAGAGTGAAATATGGGGTCAATTTCAAGTTTCAATTCTTCTAGCCAACTAAAGAAAAGTATGTGAATTATTTCTAGCTGGCTGGAAAAATTCCCCAACCAACTAAACAAATTATTATAAGGTTGAAAAGACCTGTTTTTTTCCTCTTATCATCAGGCAGTACACTGCTACTCAAAAGACAATATGGTGGCTATGATCAACATAAAGTTCTGAACCATCTCTGGGAACCCAGTCAAAATTCTGGGGGAGATCTCAAAGTCTCTTAAAAGCCCTGTCGAGATGCCATTTATCTTCTGAAACTAAGAGACCATATGTGGGTCTAACTACTGGTCATCGGTGGAAGACTGTAGCTGTTGAATGCCCAGGACAACAAAACCAAAGCAAGTTAAAGAAGAACCAGTTTCAGTTCTAAGTCTAGCACTACAGGTGTACTCTTTCGTCTTTGGTGTGCTTAAAATTCTCATCCCAATCTGTTAGAAGCTTCAAGGGATTTGACTTGTATTTTCATATGATTCCCCCATACTCAGTGCTAGCTCCAATCTTCCAAACAGTAGCCTTTTTACCATCAGCTGGTCCAACACTGGGCTTGACCCTCTACTCACTGACTGGTGGGGCCTCCCCCAATGGTGAGAATACACAACCCCAGGAAGGGGTGGCAGTGGGGCGGTAATCACTGACCCAAACTATCAGACTAATGGCAACTTTGCAGGACACAGGCTTTCCTTATGTAGCTTGTGGAAATGCTATGGCAGGTCACATTTTTTCCTTAGAGTTTTTTCATCCAGGTAGCAGAGCAGAAAGATGTTAATTTAATATCATTCAACCATTTTGAGAAGGTGCCCATTTTGCCAGGTGACACACAAATAGCTCCACACTATATACCGCATGACCTTTTCTAAGAACAGTGAACATTTGAAAAAAAAAAAAAAAGTAACTCTATGTTGAATCCCAGTCTTTAAAAAAAAAAAAAACACCTATGATTATAGTGACACAGGGAATTAAGATCTGCAAAATATTCAAACCGCCAAGCTACATGTAACTCTCTTAGGTTGTAATCAAGGAAGCCATTTCATGGTAGGGTTCAATGGCCTACCAAAACTGATTAATTGTGAAATAAAAGCCAGGCACGTTCTTTGCAGAACAGTTCCCAGAGTCCAATATCTTCCCTGACTTGCAGTTTGATGTATGGACATAAGAGCTGATTTTCAGCAAGAAATAGGTGCTTAGGAATCAATAACCTGTACTTCCCCTATCAGCAATTTTTTGAATTTGAGACCTACTATACAACAATCTGCACACATCAGCATCCAGCAACTGCAAAGGGTTTTTTCTAATGGGGGAGTGGAGGATCATAATTAAGTGTTTCCTTTCTTTTCTATAAATCTAAATATCAAATAAGATTGAAATACATCAGTTCTCAGCACATAAAGCTTGTTTTATTCTTACCTCAGCAGCTTGGGTCTCTTGATGCAGTAATGTAAGACCAGTCAAGTCTTCTAAGAAGGAATGTGAAGAATTAAACACCTTCTCTAGGAATTGAAATCCTTCTCGTTCATATTGATCAAGAACCTGTAAAACATTTACATTTTTTAAAGGGGGGCTGTAGGTCTTAAATGCATATTAAAAGATTTTTTACTTCTAATAAGCACTTGTCAAAAATGAGACAAAAACTACCCTTAAATATGGAGATAACCAATCTGTTGGGGAAAAAAAAAAAAAAAAGGGAGTGTTTAATATTTATCATATTTTTCAATTTAGATGACAATTTTTCTCAAAATAGGTTACATGCAAATTCACTAAAAGTTCTAGAAAAGTTGGGTTACTAATTTTAAAGTCTACTTTTTAGGAAAAAAATAGCAGGTAAGAGAAGAGCCAAGAACATTTTTTTTTTTTTTTTTTAACAAGAATAAAGAGTAGGGAAGGGACAGAAGGATGGGAAATGGGACCTACTGGCTAGCCAAACATATTTAAAAAATAATTTTAAAATGTAAAACTGAATTTCACCAGGCATGTCACAAAAGAGGAGACCCAAATGGCCAACAAACTTATGAAAAGTTGCTTAGCATTACTAATAATCAGGGAAATAAAAACTAAAAATATAATATAATATTTTTTTAATTGTTTTTATCAATGTAATATTGTTTTATAGCTACCAGCATGGCTAAAATGGAAAAGACAGAAAATACCGAGTACTGGCAAAGATTTGGAACAACCAGCATTCTCCTGGGAGTACCAAACAAGGCAACCACTTTAGAGGTTTAATATTTGTATGTATCATGATAAAAAAATAAAAAAAAAATCTACTCCTGGATACGTACATCCAACAAAAAAATATGTGCATCAAAAGACCCAATCAAAAGTGTCCATAGTGGCACTATTGATGACTAGAAGCCCGGTGCATGGATTTTTGCACAGGTGAGGTCCCTCGGCCTGGCCTGCAGGGATTGGGCCAAAAGTGGCTCTCTGACATCCCCTGAGGAGTTTCAGATCATAAGAGGGCTCAGGCTTGGCTAAAGGACCCCACTGATGCATAACTGGAGCTGGGGAGGAACCGTGGGAGGGCTCTAGAGCATATCTAGCCTGTTTTACTCAGTCTCAATTGGCTGGATCCCAGCAGCAAGCTAATCTACCGGTCTGAATGCCTGCCCCCTGCTGGTCAGTGCACATCATGCTACTGGTCGAATGGTTGCACACTTAGCATATTAGGTTTTTATTATATAGGATAGTTCCCAACTAGAAACTACACAAGTGCCCACCAATAGTAGAATGAGTGAGCAAACTGGTTTATTCATGTAGTTGAATATTATATAGCAATTAAAACAAATACAATTACATGCAATAATATGGATAATTCTTACAAACATAATGTTAAACAAAAGGGAGAAGCAGTATGTACTGTATGATTACTTTTATATAGTACTTAAAAAAAAACAAGCAAGATGAAATCTATGGTGTTAGAAATCAGGAATGGTTAACCATGAAAGACTGAAATTGAAAGGGAGTACAAGGGAAGGATTAGGGTGTAGTTAGTATCTGCTTTTCTTTTTTTATCTGGGTGCTGGGAACAAAGGTGTACTTTTTATACTGTCCTTCAATTAAAAAGGTCAAAAGGTAAAAGGCCAGTAATCTTGACAGAACAACATAAGAACATATAAGTATTTCAAAGCAATAAAAAAGACGATTATAACCGAAACCAGTTTGGCTCAATGGATAGAGCATCGGCTTGGGGACTGAAGGGACCCGGGTTCGATTCCGGTCAAGGGCATGTACCTTGGTTGCAGGCATATCCCCAGTGGGGGGTGTGCAAGAGGCAGCTGATCGATGTTTCTAGCTCTCATCATTGTTTCTAGCTCTCTGACTCTCTCCCTTCCTCTCTGTATAAAATCAATAAAATATATTAAAAAAAAAGAAGATTTTAATATGCTTAAAAATTCAATAATCACAGAAATTGTGAATTGCAGAAAGCAAACAGTGACTAGAATGCCTCAGAAATTCTCTCAGATTTCAGAAGAAATAAAGAGATGAAGAGATAGAAGACACTGAAGATAAATGCAATAAATTACACATAAATAGAAAGGTTACAGAAGCAATATAGCACACATACAAAAAAATGACAGCTTCTCCATTCAGAAATTAAAATGGTATATGTTGGAAGTGGCTCATTGCCTTCACTAGCAGAGAGGTGTGGACAAGGAACGAGGAAGGCTGGTCAACCTTGAAGCTCTGAAAGGTCAGAGACAACCACCCACAGTTTAGTTGAGATAATGGTAGCTGAGGAAACTTCTACCTTCCAGTTTTATGTGAATTCTTGCTGATTGGCTATTATTGGAATTGCCTACCCAAAGGCTATTGGTGTATCCTATAGTCTTAATAAAAGGGATAGCAAGGCCAGAGTGGGGTGAGTTGATTAATCAATCTTCCCCTTGAGTTGGGCTTCTGCCTGGCCCCCAATATTCCCAAATTTATAATTTCTTGTCTAGTCTCTTCCATTTGCATGAAGCCTCCTCCAAAGCCCAAACCCTGAACCCATGTGTGATGTGGGAGGGTGGGGTCACTCACAACTGGCAGCCCAACGTAGGGCACTCGCAGGTAAACCCTTCAATCTAGCAATTCCAGTTCAGATTGTTCAAATATTTTTTTAAATGCTTTTTTTTTTTTTGAGGGTTTGAGAATTGTGGTTTTCTTTTTTTATAGTATTCTTTAGTATTCAATTATCTTTCACTTTACAAAGTGAACATTTAAAGAAAATCTAATGATAAGAACGTTGAGTCTGAAGCAGCATGCCCACACTATTTTTGTTGTGCCTAGCGTGATGCATGAAGACTGATGTGTAAGGATGATCACCACAACACAATGTGAAGCAACAAAAAATTAGAAACAACTACCCTTCTATAGGGAACTGCTGAACTAAATCAAGGTGTATTTACAATCAAGGACATAGTCTAGATCCATCAAAAGAATGAGGCAGTTCTATATACTGAATGTAAGCTGTAATTAAAAAAAAAAGAAAAAGATTACTGTTCCCTTTCACCCAAGAAAGAATTAGGCAGTTCCAATAAGTACTGATATAAACTAATTTCCAAGATACAGAATATATTAAAAACGCCTACACTATGGGTCGAAGTATTAAAGTTTTAAAAATAAAAGTGGATCTGTTTTTGGTTATTTTCCTCCAAAGCTCTATATTAAAACCAAATGCCCAGCATCATGGTATTAGGAGGTAGGGTCTTTGGAAGTTATTTAGGTCATGAGGGTGGTGCTCTCATGAATGGGAATAGTGTTTCTATCAAAGAGATCCTCAAAGGGCTCTATTTCCCCTTCTGCCATAAGAGGATACTGCAAGAAGCTTTCTATGACCCAGGAAGCAGGCCCAAAAACAGATCCAGAGATAGAGGCATCTTTCAGGCCATCAAACCTCAGAAAATAGGTAGGAAAGGATGGGGTTAAGGGAGAGAAATTAACAAAAGGACTTGTATGCATGGACTTATAAGCCTAACCAATGGACACAGACAACAGGGGGTGAGGGCATGAGTGGGGTAGGGGGGGGGGGCGGGGAGGGAACTTGGGGGGTAATGGGGAGATTAGGACACATATGTCCTAATCTCCCCATAACTTAATCAAGAAAATAAGATTAAAAAGAACAAGCATTCAGTCCATAAAAAAAATAAATAAATAAAAGTGGAGGAGAGGGAAATTTACATCTGCATATGTTTGTTTATGCATATATCATCTCTGAGAGAATATACACCCATAACTAGTATCAAGTAGTTGCTTCTGTATATTCTTTTACACAACTTGAGTTTTTAAACCAAGTGCATGTATTACTTGTTAAAATAAGATTAAAATCTTAGTTTAGTATCCCCGTCATCCCCCAACCCCAGTAGTGGTGGAGAAAAGTCTAGGAAGAAAAGAAAGAACTCTAAAGGCCTGATGAAGTTGGAGCTAGAAAAGAAGGGCAGTCCTCTCTCAGCCACAGGTAGCACAGCAGCTGCAGTGATAATTAGGATCTGAACAGCAGGCAACAAAACAAAATCATCTGCTATCACAGAGAAGGATGGAGTGGGCCATGGAGCTTGAGGAGAGTGGTAATGACCTGGGACAGCTGAGTGGGGAATGTGAGAAAGGAAGCTGATCAGCACCACTGAAAGAGTTCTGAGCAAACTGAGGCCCCTGCCCAGGACAGAAAATATAAGCTTTCAAAGAAAGGTGGTTAAAGACCCATCTAAACTTGGGGGCTCAAAGGATAAGGGTGAAAAAGAGAAAAGTCAAAGAAATTGAGGGGCTGGTGAATACCAAGAAGGAACCCAAGGTTGGTAAGAAAAGACTTGCAAGACGGAGGGAACAGTTAGACTAGGATCCCAAAGGGATGGAGGACTAGGGGGTGGCTGTGATGTCTCAGGGTATATACAAAATAGTCTTTGGCTGATTAACTGCAGTAAACTAATTTAACAATCTATTGCTTGGATAAAAAGGCACTTAATAACTGAATCTCTCAGTAATAAGATTTCTTACAAACTGCACTGTCATCTCCGGAAAAATGTGCATGGAAATTAAATGATCTTGTTTGAAATGATAAATGCTGTGTTTAGTGGTCATTTATTCTAAGTGAACCACTAGGCTCATGAAATAGCTACTTGGTGCCAGGCTTCCAATAAGGCAAAAGAAGAAATTAGTTTGAAAAATGGACCAAAAATTTGAAAAAATATTGAAACAATTCCAGAGATGAGAATGTGTTGGACTTAATTAAACTTTCAGTTTTTAAGCCTATGTTTCCACAGGTAATTTTGTGGTGCTACAAATCTGGATAGTGGAAAAACTAACAGCAAGGACAGAATGAGCAAAGGCCTTCCCCATAATCGGGATGTACAGAAAGTTTAATGCTGAAACATTATTAATAGCTCTGCTTGAAAAATATGTGGAAAAACATAATCCTCTAGGGGCATATTTAATCATGCAAGGGTTTTCCAGTATTCCCTTTATGTGCTGGGAAGTTAATCTGTTATGAATATAAGCAGCTTATAAAAGATACCATGATTCCCCCTCCCATTCCCACCCCAAAAAGCTTAACC